TAGGGATGCTTAATGCCACTCAATTGTACACTTGGAAATGGTTAAAATGGCAAATAATATGTATATTTTACCGCAATATTTCTTTTTAAGTTTTTTTTTAAAAAAAGGGTTCTTAGAGAAAGGCAGCCTCTGGTCAGTGCGCCGACCTTCAGCCCCAGGTATTTCCACAGCAGCGCTATTGACGTCTTGGGCCGAATCATTCTCGGTTGTGGTCGCAGCCCTGTTCTAGGGCGGGGTTCAGCAGCCCCGACCCCTGTCCCCTGGAAGCCAGCAGTCTCCCCACCCCAGAGTGACCTCCAGAAGTGTCTCAGACACACAACCGAAGCAAAACTGCCCCCAGGGGATGACTGCTGCCTTCACCAGCTTGGAAGGAGCCACTCACTCGGGAGCCGAGGTGGGGGGTGGCAGGCAACAGAGAAGCAAGAGGTTGTCATCCCAGGATGGAGGGGTCTTGTCTGGACAGAAGGTAAAGGTCAGCAAATCCTGAGGGACCCCAGGAGTGGTGGGCAGGGTCTGAAGATCCAGAATGGGGCAAACCAGCCATGGGTAGGCGCACAGAGGGCAATAGGATCAGGCTTTACCCAAATCTGTCGCTCCCCTCCAGCTCTACTCCCAGGGGAGAGAGGGGCGCTCACGGCTGCCATTCCTGTTCTGCCACACCTGCTGCCCCGTCCCCCCAGCCTCACAGGTGAGAAGCAGAGAAGGTTGAAATTGTCACCTTCAGCTGCTAGTGGTGGCTTCTAGAAGGGCCAGGGACTTCTGCAGCTTCCCCTACTCCCATGGGGAAAAATGAATATTTCAGGGTATGCTCTGTCTCCTTTTGAGGCAACTGAAAAATAAAAGCCAACAAAAACAGAATTTTAAACAGTTGCTTCTGACATGCAACTAAGTTGAAGCTCCCTCTGCGCCCATGAGCAAGGTGTTGTGGGTCTTAATCGAGGCTTGGCACTCAGGGATCAGCAGTGGATGCTGAGCGCCTGCCGGCCACCCTGTTCCTGCTGAGAAAGCAAAGTCCCTCCCGCCGGGAGTGGACGGGCCAAGGATGACGGGGACCAGGAAGTGGCTGGGAGGAAGGCGTGGAGGTAGGGGCAGAAGGGTGCAGACCTGGCTCTCCTCGTGGCTTCCTTGCGTGGATTAGGCTGTTCTCATCAAAGATGCCCCTTTCAGGGTGCAACCAGCCCCCCTGAGAGATGTGGACAGTCACTTCAGTCCGTTTGCCTGTGGTCCTCCTTCCTTCATCTCAATGGTTTCTTATAGGTGGATTCAACCTGCTCAGTAGCCTGGGCCCCAGAGAGGGAGCCAGTGAGGGTCCGGGGCTGGCTGGGGCAGGGTGGAGGAGGTGTGTGTGTCTTCTTTTTTTCCTTCCTTTCTTTTTTTTTTTTCTTTAAGATTTCATTTGTAAGTAGTCACTATACCCAATGTGGGGCTCAAACTTACAACCCGGAGATCAAGAGTCACATGCTCCACCAACGAGCCAGCCAGCCACCCCAGGGTGGGAGGGTTCTTGAGGGATAAGTTGGATCAAGGGCTGGCCTGAGCGGGAATCAGCAGCTTCCCCAATCCCAGAACTTTGGCTAACTTAGGCAAGGTCATCTAGAACCAGAGAGAGTGGATCAGTTGGGAGGAGAGGAAGGGTGGGCAGGAGGGGAGGGGCTATTTCAGCATGCTGAGCTAAGCCTGGGGTGGGAGCTGTACGGAGCGCTTCTCTTCTCCTTAGTTGCCCACCTCTGGAAGTGGGGGGGTGGGCCTCGTGCTACTGCAGACCGGGGTCCTCCGGGGTGGGCCTGGGAGGGATGCTTGACCAGAGCAGGTGGGGGGCAGAGCAGGTTCTCCTGGCTCTCTCTGCTATGGAGCTGGCAATCAACAGGAAGTGAGTCCCAGGGTGAGAAGAGGCCATGTGGTCCCCAGGCAGGAAGTTAGTGACAGCAGAGTTGTCTCAAGCAGCTTAGTGGGGCTGGGAGCCTGCCCCAGTTGGAGGTGTCTGTGGGGCAGCAAGTGGCCAGAAGGAAAAAGGACACAGCCATGGTAAGAGCTTGACTCCGACCTGAATTTCCCAGCCCACATTGGCCCAGCAGACACCCAGCCCACCTCCCTGGCAGAGGCATGTTCAGAGCTCTGTGGTGCCCAGCAGGGCTGGACACTGGGGGGGAGCTGTGGGGGCCTGGGCATCCCCTACACTGCTTGGGCTGTCTCAGGGTGAGAGGATTTCTACCAGGGAGGGGTTTTCTAGGTCAGGGAACCCTGTTGGCTTGAGCTGGGAGGTGGGAAAGGCCCTCTCAGTCCCGGACAGAGTGTGTCCAAACACTCAGGGATGGAAGCTAAGGAGAAAGACAGGGCCTACTGCTCCCTTGCATTCCTGCTTCTGACCTCCTGGCTCTGCTGGCTTCAGCCCTCTGTGCCCAAGGCTAGGCTGGCAGAGGACTTGTGGCTTAGGACTGCACACCTTTGCAGATTTCCCTGGGAGCTTCCCTTGGGGGAAGCAGGCCTGCTCCAAGCTACCCCACCTAGCCAGGAAAACAGCTTGGCTAGTCCCTCTGCTTGCCCACAGGCTGCTCTGTGTGCCTGGAGCCTTGTCCAGGGAGGACTCGGGTTTTTATTTTGTTTTTATTTATTTATTTTGTCCCCAAGGCCCTTGTCCCTATTGGCCACCCTGGGGGTTCCTCAATGGGCAGCTCAGGGGCACCTCAACAGGGCTCAGAGTTGAAGATATAGACCTTAGAGCAGACGTAGCCTTCGAGATTGTCCGCCGTGAGGGGTGGGAGCCCAGTGCTCTCTCAGGCTGTCGGGGTGCGCTTTGAGGGGTACAGCTCTTTGGAGGGAATTTGGCAGGCCCTCCAGCAGCTAACCCACCTCTGGGGCCCCAATCTACTGACATACGCAGGCACACGGGGCTGTAAGTGCACGGGGCTCATTGCTGTGAAAAGCAAATGGCCCAAAGACCCACTATTAGGGAACCGTTTGCATAAATTCTGGGGCCTCCATTCACTAGAATGTGGAGCAGCTGTGAAGTAGGAGAGACAGCTCCATATGCACGGGTATGGAGAGATGCCCACTGTGCTTGTTAAGTGGAAAAGCAAGTTATAGAACACGGAGTAGTAAGACACCCTATTAGGAAAAAAAATCCTGGATCTGGCTGTGCGTGTGAATCCATGTGTGTAAACATGTAACTCACAAACGATTGTAGACACGTAGAAACAAAGTCTGCAAAGGATCCTCACCAAATTGTTAACAAAGGTTTACCTGTGGTTTTGGAGGTGGGGGATTGAAAAAGGAGCTTTAACCTTTCACCACGACTCATTTTTGTATCATTTGAGTTTTCATACGTGTCTTTTATAAACAAGGAAAGAAAAAAAGACTTTGATGGAAAAAACCTCAGGGGTCGAGCCTAGGCATCTCCCCTTATAGGTGGGGCAGCCTAGGGGCCCTCCTGGGCAGCGCCCCGCCGAGGTGGTAGGCTAGCCTCGCATTTGCCCTTCCCATAGGCGTTTGTGAATGGAGCTGGACGGGGTTGCTCAGGCCCGGCCTGTGCCCATGGACGAGAACGTGGGGGACGCTTGCCTCTTCCGCACCATGAGGGCACCTCCATTCCTTCTGAGATGCCCTAGCCTACTTCCCCCAAGGACAGAATGCTCACCAGCCTCTCCTGCCCCCAGGCCATCCTTACAAAGTGTGTGACCTTGAGCAAGTCACGGAATTCTCCGAGAGCCTCCTTAGGAAGGTTGAGTGGCTCAAAAGGGGTCATGGTGAGAAGGAGCCTTGCCCACCACGCAGGGGCATTTACAAAGGACAGTTAGATGATTACTCTTGTTTTTTTTTTTTTAAAGATTTATTTATTTATTTGACAGACAGAGATCATAAGCAGATGGAGAGGCAGGCAGAGAGAGAGAGAGAGGAGGAAGAAGGCTCCCCGCTGAGCAGAGAGCCCGATGCGGGGCTCGATCCCAGGACCCTGGGATCATGACCTGAGCCGAAGGCAGAGGCTTTAACCCATTGAGCCATCCAGGCGCCCGTAGATGATTGCTCTTGATGTGATTCTTATTACCTGGAACTGTAGCAAGTTCCATTCTTAGACTCTTAGGGATGAAGGGATACATTTCCTATTAGAAGGGGAGCATGAGACACATGCGGGAGGTGGGGTGGGGGGTTCACTGTGGACGCTGCAAACTGCTTGTGGGAGCTGTAGGCTCTCCAGGGTCGGGGTGCCAGAGAGCACGTGGGGTCCAGAGCTGAAGGAAAGAACTGTGCTGGGCTTTGGGGCCCAACAGAATGCTTGTCTGGGAGGCCTCCTTTGACCCTTCCGCTCCAAGATGCAGCTAGTCCCTGTTTGGGTCTGGGCCTTGACAGGCCAAAAGGAAAGCTGAGGGAATCTGGCAAAAGTCAGATCAGCCTAAGGTGACCAGAATTGATTGGTGGCACTAGAGTCTTCTGAAGAGGGGTCGTGATTGGAAGTAGGGAGAGTGTGAGGAATGTTTGTTTTTTAAAAAAAATCCTTGATTGATTTATTTTTTGTGAGGCTTGAACTCCTAACCCTGAGATCAAGAGTTGTATGCTCTACCCACTGAGCCAGGCAGGCCCTCCAGAATGTTTGTTTTCACTTACACATAAATGTATTTTTTTTTTCACTTATGTATAGAGGGACGTTTGTTTTTAATAGGGGCCTCAGAATTGTCTTAGAGGCCCTCTGTCACCTCAGGGAGTGGGGGGGCGGTAGCGTGGATCACAGCGTGGGCAGTGAAACCAGGCTGGCAAACCTGCCTGCATTCTTCTTCTGCTTCTTATGCTCGAGTCCACAAGCCCATTGACCTCAGCAAGTCGGGCCCAGGGATCCCTTGAAACCGAGAGCAGAATTATGTGTGTATTTGCTTGCGTGGACGCTTATGTGGACAAGGTTTTCTGGACAATGGGTGGCATAACCTTCACCAGAATTTCAGGGGGGCTAGTGATCCAAAAGAGGAAGACCAGTGATCTAATTCTCCCCTCTTGTTTCTTCATCTTTCCAGGTGGAAAGCAGTGACACACCAAAGGACCCCGCAGTGACCTCCAAGTCCCCGTCCATGGCCCAGGACTCAGGCCCCTCAGAGCTGTTACCCAACGGGGACTTGGAGAAGCGGAGTGAGCCCCAGCCAGAGGAGGGGAGCCCCGCTGGAGGGCAGAAGGGCGGGGCCCCAGCAGAGGGAGAGGGTGCGGCTGAGACCCCACCTGAAGCCTCCAGAGCCGTGGAGAATGGCTGCTGCACCCCCAAGGATGGCCGAGGAGCCCCCGCAGAAGAGAGTGAGTCCTGGGGACAAGGGGCCGCCTCTTCTGGGATCCCCAGGATTCCCCCAAGGGTTAGAGACTGGGGCCAGCAGGCCCCAGCAGGCATGGGAGCTGGAAGTCTACTTGCCAAGGCTGTACCCCGGGGGCTGCTGGCTGGATGCAGCCTGCACACATGTTTTATTTGGCCCATGTAGTGTTTTAAACATTTTCAAAAATTAGTTGCCAGTATTTAAAAATCAAGAAATTTCACATAAAAATCTGGAGTTTTGGCTTCTCATGGAAAAAAAAAAAAAAGCTAGATCTGGCAACAGTGGGTTTGTAGAATGCCAACAGTTGCAGGACTGGGGTGGTGGCTGTCCCCCACACCCCTTTGTAGGCTGGTTGTGAGCCTCAGTTTCCCTCAGCCCTTACCTGGCCTGATGCTGCTTCTACAAGACCTGCAGCTCTCGGGGACTGCGTGCCGAACCCCTGGCCTGGGTGCTCCAGGCAGGGGATGCCCTCTGCCAGGAAGAGCCCACTTAGCCTGCCCCAGCACAGCGGTCTTGAACCCGCCACAGTTCAGCTGACTCAGCTCAAGTGTGGTTGTGACTGAGTGGGATGGGGGCAGCGCAGAGGGGGGTGACCAGTGTGCCAGGCCCCTTCCTCCCCAGACTTTTTGGCCTTGCCCTGGAGTCCTGGAAAATTGCCTGCTTTTCTCTTTCAGGTTAAGCCAGTGATTTCAGGGCCAACCGAGCTGTAAACATGTTAGTAATGAGGACAACTAGCATTTGTACCGGGCTTCACAGTTTACAGAGTGTTTCCTCATATATTACCACATTTGATCCTCACAGGGCCCTGCCAGGTTGTTTTGCATATGTGCATTTTAATTCAAAAAGTCTTCCTTCCAAGTGCGGTTGATGGAATGAGTAAATCGATTAATTGGCTTAACTTACTTTGCATGGATCAAAACCCAATATTCATGCAGGATTGAGAGCATTTCCAGAAAAGAGATTTCCAAATTAATATATATATATATATATATATATGCGTGTATATATATATGTGTGTATATAATATATATATACACATATGTGTATATATATACCTATATTTCATTCATTTATTATTCAACTAATATTTAATGATGTTCTTGTTATGTGCAAAGCACTTCCTGAGGTACTCTGTATTCGTTCTTTTAGTCCTCTAAACAATCTTCTTCAAGAGGTATTATTATTCCCATTTTAAGGCAAAAAAAACCCTGCCACTTAGCGAGATGAAGTGACTTGCTCAGGGCACCCCTGGAACCTGTAAGTGGTAGATCCAGGATGCATTCGGTCTTGGCTCTAAAGGTGGTGTACTCTTCTGCTGTCCCCTTTTATTCTGCAGTGGGGCTCAGGACTGGCTGTCCGGGAACTGCCCAGTGCTCCTGGCCTCACCTGAGTGCCTTGTGGGTGTGGGTAGGTCCTGACACTGGGTGGGAGTGTTCAAGGGGCTGGAGTGGAGGGAAACCCAGGAGAAAAGGGAAAAGAGACCCTCTTCCTCCCGCTAAGAATACCAGGTATTCCAGTGTGGAAACTGGGGGCCCATCAGTAAACCCAGCCCCCCCCGCCCCCCCACCACACAGTGTGCGGATTCCTGGGACCCCACCACGACTGGCTGGGGTAAGCTGCAGGCCTTCCGGCCTGGTGGGATGGAGCTAGAGTTCTCAGGCCATTCTTAACCCTTGAGTGTTTGCTTTCACTTTGGGGTCTCTCTGTCTCCGCTTCTGTTTGTTCCTTCTTCAGTCAGTCAATAGGTGTTTGTGAAACCTCCATTTGGTGTATGTGTCAGGATCTGGGCCAGGAGCTGGGGAAACCATCAGGAACAAAAACCTGGTTCTTGCCTTCAAGGACCTCACAGTCCGCTAGAGAGACAGACATTAATGAGAAATTCACGCTGAGAGGCGTGTGATTCTACAGGGAGATAGGTTCTCTAAGAGAAAGTAAACACAGTTCTATGAGGAACTGTGACCAGGGAAACCCCAGCCAGCCCAGCCTGTTCCACGGAAGCAGAAGGATGACTGGGGGTTCACCAGGTGAGGGGTGGTGTAGGAGGGACCGAAAACAGGTACAGAGGCTCCCGTGTAGGAGGGAGCAGGGCACCTGGAGTGGGCCTTTGAGGACATCCTCTCTGGGCATGGCGGGGTGTATGTGTGCGCGTGTGTGTATATGTGTGTGTGTGTGTGTGTGCGCGCGTGTGCGCACACAACATGATCTGCTTTATGTTTTGAAAAAAAAATCACTTTGCATCCTGGTTCCCGGAGTGGAACAGAGAGGCTGGGAAGCGGGGTTAGGGGGCTGCTGCAGGTGTAGAGGGGAGGAGGGCGGCTGTAATGAGGTGGCAGCAGAGGTGGAGAGAAGAGGGCAAGCACCAGGAACCCAAGGGGAAAGGGGACAGATGGTATCGAGGTGAACTCCTGGGTTTGGGATTTTCGTACATTAAGGGGGATCTTCCTCAGAATGCTCAAGCCTCCCTGACCTCCCAGTAGCCTTGGAGCATCCTGTGTTGTGTGCTTGTGGGCCTCAGAGCTGGGGGGACCCCTAAAGGCCACTGTGCATTGGCTGCATGCTGAGACTGGCGAGGTGCGGCCCCGGGGCATGGCAGTGGTCTACTGGAGGCTCGGCGGCCCAGCCCACAGCCAGCCACGCAGAACGCGTACACAGCTGCTTAGTTCCAAGGAGGGAGGAGACTAAGGCCCTAGGGAGGTAGCGATTTGGCCATGGTCTCCCTTCGTTCCCTCATTCCAGGTCTCCTCTCAGGGGACCCCATCCCTCTCCCCTAAGCCCCTCCCATTAGTTCCTATACAGGAAAAATGGAGGACTTTAAGGCAGCATTCCTGTGCACACAGGTGCCCCAGATCCTGGTAGTACAGCCAGGAGAAAGAAGGAGGAACAGGGGAGATGATGAGTAATCAGGACAAGAGCCACCTGGATAGGCAGGTGGTGGCCTTGGGACTGCTCCCGCACTCCTAGCATTAATGCCGCCATGATTGTAATAGAAACGATGGTCATATGGCTTCCTTTTACTGGATGTTGACTATGTGTTGAGTGTCCTATATCCCAACTACTCAAAGTGGCCCAGGGACCAACTGTGTTACCTGGTATCACCTTGGAATTTAGAAATGCAGAATCTCAGGCCCTACCCTAGACCTGTGGCGTCAAAAGCTACATTTGAAAGAGATTCTCATGATTTCAATGGATAGTGAACTTTAAGAATCCCTGCTCTTTAGTTACCTGTTCTCTTGCTTAATTTTTGTGATCATATGAGGAAGACTCTTATTGTCCCCATTTTTCAGATGGGGAGACTGAGTGTTCAGAAAGGTTAAGGTACTTACCCAAGATAATATAGCTGTGTTACCTGGTATCACCTTGGAATTTAGAAATGCAGAATCTCAGGCCCTACCCTAGACCTGTGGCGTCAAAAGCTACATTTGAAAGAGATTCTCATGATTTCAATGGATAGTGAACTTTAAGAATCCCTGCTCTTTAGTTACCTGTTCTCTTGCTTAATTTTTGTGATCATATGAGGAAGACTTATTGTCCCCATTTTTCAGATGGGGAGACTGAGTGTTCAGAAAGGTTAAGGTACTTACCCAAGATAATATAGCTAGTGAAGGATCGGATTAGGGTAAGCACAAAGCCCTTTCCTGCTCAGACTGGGCTAGTGACTGCCCTCTGAGGCAAGCCTGGCCTTAGCCTTGTCATGGAGATTTGGGTTCCTTTTAAAGGAAATTTGGGGTGGTCCCCTGCCCAGTTTAGGCTTAGACTGACAGGTAAGTGTGGTAGTGTTGGAGGCACCCTGGGCTCTCCTGCCCCCTGGACCTGAGATACTCTAGGGTCATGTCTGAGGCTGCCAGGGCCACCCTGGGAGGCACACAGCCACCTGGCCCGCCTATGACCCTGGGTCTGGGCCAGGAGCAGATGGACTGCAGAGGGAGTGTTGAGATAGCAGCTGACCCTCCTTGACTCAGGACAAGTTCTGCATTCTGAGGCAGGCCCGTTTGTTGTTTTGCTGGGCCAGGCTGGAAAGTGTGTGTGTGTGATATCACTCAGTGGGCATGTGCAGAATCTGTCTGGGAGAAAATTCCAGAAAGAAGCCAGTTGGAAACTGCACGAGGAAAAGTACTTCTGTTTGGGGGAGCATGGGGGCCAGGGAATAGGGAAGGGGAGAACACGAAGGTGGCGGAGGATAAAGTGAACGGGCTGGGCATTCAGGAGCCCTGAGATCTGATTTCCGCTTTGTCAGTCACTCTCACCCACCCCCCAGCCTCAGTTTCCCCACTGGCAAAATCTAGGGGCTGGGCAGGTGCTCCATCATCTCTATAGCTCCCTTCAACCCTGATTCTCTTTCATCCGAATGAATAGATGATTCCCCATAATGAGATGCCATGGAGGGAAATGTTTGAGAGGTCAGAGGGACCCCGCTGCGGCCTGGCCCGAGGGCGGGCGCCCCCTCCTGGCAGCCCAAAGCCTCGTTGGGAGACCGTCCAGGTGTGAGAGAAAAGGGGGAGGGGGGCTAGGGACGGGAGGGGGACCCGGCTCCAGGGAGCCCGAGAAAAAAATCAGGGGAGCTGGCTGTGCTGAGCAGAAGCACGGAGGAAGAGACAGCAAGACCGGGTGAGACGTACCTTCAAAGTCCTGTCGTGTAAAGTGTTAGCGAGCACCCCCGTTCCTGGCGCGCGCCCATGACAGACGCTGGTGCTTCCTCCCCGCCCCCCCCACCCTCCCCGGGCAGCCGGCTGGGCACCGTCCCTGTCCCTGTTGTGTGGCCCGCGCGTGTGCCGGCGGCGCTGGCCTCCTGGGCCCCTGCCTCCCCTCCCCTGGGCTCCAGGGGCGCTGTAACCCCTGGGCTGCCCCTCCCCCGGGGGCAAACACTCAGAACCCCAGGGCTTCTCTAGTGAGAGAGAGGGAAAGAAACTTCCTCTCCGGGGCCGGAGGAGGCCTTCAATGCTGTGTCTGGTTTCCGCTTCAGAGCCAGGAGATGAAGTAGGGGCTGTTTTTTCCGTTTTGGGCTCCCCCACCCCAACTACCATGAGCCAGCCTCATTGACCTTCCTGCTTTGGGCCCAAGCTCAGTATTCTTGGCTTCAGAGATAGGAGTTCAGGGGCCCAGGTGGGAGGAGGGCTCACTGCCCCCCCCCCCACCCCAGGAAGCTCTGGAAGGCATAATCACCCCAGTCCCACAGCCAGGGGTGGCTAGACTGCAAGGTGTGTGCCGGGCCTGGGAAGGGCATCTGGGTGAGGACCTGAGAGGACCAGGGTGGGAGGACAGGGATATTCTGGAGGAGTGTGGCTGCCCTCCCAAGTGGGGTCCGGACAGGGACGGGGAGAGGATGGGACTCTCCTATAGACAGAACTTCTGGGGCTTCTGCCCCCCCGGGGAGCCTTTGCTTCTAGGAACTGGAATCTGGGCCTAGCTGGAGAGCTGCAGAGAAGAGGCAGAGGGAAGTGCCTTAGGGAAAGGGATCCAAACTGATATTTATCGAGCACCTACTACAAGCTACCTCCTGCTCCAGGCACTCAAGGTTCCCAGTAACCTAAGATTTTAAACAGTTGGCTATCTTGATTCAGTGAGAAAACAGGCTAGAAGAGGTTATAGAGGTCACACGGAAACACCTGGAATCCAAGTCTTTTAGAAGAAAGGTTCAGGGTGGGGAGTGGGGGTGCAGAGGCAGGTATGGTAACAGAACCACAGTGTTGAGACCTGCAGAAGGACCCTAGAGATAGATCATCTCCAGCCTCATTATCTTCCAGATAAGGAAACAGCCTCAGAAACAAAGTTGCTTCACCAGAGTCTTGCTCCAGTGGCCCTGTACCCCGCTGCCCCCGAGGACATCTTTGCCTCACTCCCTAGAAGCATACAGCTCCCTTCCAGGGCAGGGGGAGACTGTGGCGTCTGGCCCCTTCTCTGGGAAGGGAGCTGTTCCTAGACAGCCCCGTCTGTGTACCTGAGACAGAGTCAATGGGCCAGAAGCCGTGGCCCTGGCTTTTCTATTGTTCCTTCGGATTTGGGCCTCCAGAGCTGCCCCAGTCCCTTCTCTGCTTTAGGCCTTGCTCTGAGTCCTTGGGGCCAGCATGGTGCCTAGCACACAGTGGGCCATCAGGTTTGACACATGAACAACTGAATGGTTAGAGGACCCCTGTCCCCGTGGCAGGGACCCCAGGCACAAGGTGGGGCCTCTGAGCCACTCCTGTAACTCTGCCGACAGTCCCTTTGTTCTTCCCTCTCCACAGGCAAAGAACAGAAGGAGACCAACATCGAATCCATGAAAATGGAGGCAAGTGTTTTCCTCAACCCCCAGGGGCTCTGTGGATCCTGATTCTAGAAGAAAGCCACCTCTCTGACCAACCGTGGCGAATGTGTGTGAGGGGATCCTGAGGTGGTCTGTCCCCTTCTTTACATGTCCCCGTGTAAGGAGGAAAGGAGATGGGTGTGGAGGTTAGAAGCCCCCCCCAACAAGGCAGCCAGCTGGTCCCCTCTGAGACCAGGCGCCTCCCCACATGGTTCATGTCCATGTGCCCCCCACCCCCCAGCCCGTGGCTCACTTCTCCAGCCCAAACAGGGCCTTGCCCAGCACTCTCAGGGTGGACATCTCTGGCCAGGAGTCAAAGCTCCTGTGTTCTGTTCGAGGTGAGTGCCTCCTCAGTTTCCCCTCAGGAGGAGCGAACCTTGCAGTGGGACTGTCAGTGCCCATCTTAATGCCAGTCTGTCTCTCTGTCGTCTCTCTGTCCTAGGGCTCCCGGGGCCGGCTGCGGGGTGGCTTGGGCTGGGAGTCCAGCCTCCGCCAGCGGCCCATGCCGCGGCTCACCTTCCAGGCGGGGGACCCCTACTACATCAGCAAGCGCAAGCGGGACGAGTGGCTGGCACGCTGGAAAAGGGAGGTGAGGTGCCTTCTGGCCTGGGCCCCAGCCTGCCCCACAGAATTGGAAAAGCAGAAGTTAGCTTCAGCCGCTCTCTGGAGCTGTTGTCAGGCCCCTGCTGAGCCTCAGTTTCCCCTTCAGGTTAACCTCTTGCACTTACAGGAAAACACTTAACTCCTAGGCAGTGACTGGTTTCTTTTTTTGTTCAACAGATGTTTATTGATCACTTCCCATGTCTCCGGTAGTGTACTAGGCTCTGTGCATATACAGTTCCTGGCCTTGTGGAGCTGACGTTCTGATGGATGAGATAGAACAAGTAAAGACAGAAAAGTAAAGGAAGGGCTGAAATAGAGGATAGCAGAAGCCTGCTTTAGGTGGGGTGGTCAGGGGAGGCTTCTTGGAGGAGGTGGCCTTTTAAAGTTAAGACCTAAAGGAGCAGGAGAGCTGGCTCTGATCTGGTTGCTCCTCGGTCCTCCAGTCTCCACTACCTCAATGCCTCTTGCTGCTAAATCCCTCTACTGGCTAGCTTCTACCACCCCCCACCCTCGACCCTGAGCCCCCGCTGCCCACGACCTCCATGGAGGGTATCTGGTGAGGAGTGGGGTGGGGTAGAATGTTCTAGGCAGAGGAAACACCACAAGCAAGACTCCGACTTGTTTGGCAAAACGAGAGACCAGTATGCCCCGCGGGAAACGAGCGAGGGAGAAAGTGGGGTCAGACAAGGCTGGGAGGTAGGCAGAGGTCTAGCCATGTGGGGCTCTGCACGTCTTGGCCAGAAGCTGGTATAATTCTGAGTACATGGAAGGTTTCTCTGCAGAGGAATGATTTGATGTGGATTAGAGGGACGGCAATGGAGACAGGGAAGATTCAGGATGTATTTTGGAGTTAGAATCAGTAAGGCTTGCTGATGGATGGGAGGGGTGAAGGAGGAGAGGAAGTAGAAGGACCCAAGGACAACTCCCAGGGGTCTCACCTGAATACCTAGTGATGGTTGTGCCATGTCCTCAGATGGGGAAGGCAGCTGGAGGAGCGGGTTTGGGACTGCTGGGAGCTGGCAGTTCAGACTGAGAGGCCGAGGTGCCTGTAGCCGACGAGGTAGGCAAGTCCGCACTTCAGATGCAAAGATGGGAGGACGTCAAGAGCAGAAGCTGCTGTTTAAGTCCAGGGAAACAGATGAGCTCACCTGGGGATAGGGAGAGAGAAGAGCCCAAATCCCAAGTTTCCTCCAACTGCACCCCTGGAAACCACACTATTTATGGGCTGTGTAGAGAGGACTGCAAGGGCTGAGAGGCATGTCCATTGCCTCTGACAACCTGGAGGTAGCTGGTGACTTTTCTAAGAGAAGCTTCCGTGGGGGTGGAAGCCAGCCCATGGCAGGCTGCAGCAGGGACAGGAGGTGAGGCCGTGGGGACCGAAAGACCAAGGAGTCAGCAGCCCATCAAGCCCGATGTGCGGGGCCGCTCTCCTGTCTGATCCGCAGAGATGGTAGACCTCCGGCAGCAGGGAGGGAGCAGAAATGGTGTGAGTTGCCACCATCTGGGGCGTTCGCCCCAGGCCTTCAAAGGAAGGCATTGTCCGACTTACACTGTGTGAGCGCCGCTCTAGAAGAAGTTCAGAATGAGGTAGAGGTTTTGTCTGTGTGATGGTCTCCAGTTCCTTCGGGCTCCAGGAAGGCAGAAATTTCTCTCCTGGAAGGGCCTGGAGAAGGGGCGGCCTGTCGAGGGTCCCGGAGAAGACAGGCACTTGACACTGAGCTCAAAGTGTGGTCTTTAGGACGAAATTCAGGAACTGGGGCTGTTCTTGCCATCTGGTGGGTTGCCTACTAGTCAGCCCCCGGCAGCCAGCGGGGGCAGGGCGGAGGGGTGCGTTTTCCTGCTCTCCGGGAGTCCTGGAGCCAGAAGGCTATGCATAATGACGTTTAGACCTGGAACACTCATACATTCTGTGGTTCTCAGACTAGGCTTCCCTGAAGAAGCAGTATGGAAGCCTGCCCTCAGCTGCCAGAGAAAAGGGGATCTTCTCTCAACTCACAGGAAAAATTAGGATAGTCGGGGCATTTTCTCGATTTTATCATTTCCACTAGAACTTAAAAAGACTTGATCATGGGCCTCTTGTAGCATACGCAGAAGCAGAGAGAGTGGTGGGCTGAAGAAGTCCCCACGTACCTATCACCCAGCTTCAGCAATCATCAAAAGCTTTTCTAGTAAACTCTCGATGTTTGCCATCCACTTCCCCACCCCCAGCCAAGAAAGGTCATTGATGAGCATTAACAGAAAAACTTGAAAAGTTGATTCAATTGAAAATGTTTTAGGTATATGTGACTTGAGATGTAGAGGTCTTCCCCTGCCCCAAAATATATTTTCTGGGGCGCCTGGCTGGCTCAACCTGTTGAGCACAAGACTCTCGATCTCTGGCTCTTGAGTTCAAGCCCCACGTTGGGTGTAGACCTTACTTAAAAAAAATAATAATATACTTTTTGCCAATCTTTTCCTTCCTTATTTATATTCTGTGACTAAAGAGTCCATCGAGAATTTGTGACTGTCAGCACAGGAGTCAGAGCTGCTGGTCGCCTCAGTCTCAGAGTAGGGGGCAGGGGCTGCACTTAGGTGCTGGCCACAGGCTCGGGCCCCCTTCAGGCTTCCTGCTGCCTGCTGAGGCCTGGCCCCAGTACCATACCCGGCGTCTAGCGGACAGCCAGCTGCAGGTAACACGAATGCTGGGGAAACACAGCTAGCTCCAAGACTGTTAGGTTCCCTTCAGACTGAAGAGTAGTAACTGTCCCCACAGAGTGGCCTACTAGAGGTAAAGAAACTCTTCCACCCCTGGCCACCTCACCTCGTTCCCTGGCATTCTACCCTTTCTTCTGATACTGCCTCCCTTGGCCTTCCTGACCTTGGCCCTGAAGTTCTTCCCCATTTCCTCCAACTGCATCTGCTCAGCCTCCTCCTTTGTCCCATGGCGATGGCATCCCCAGATCTCTGCCTACCCCTCCGCCCCCCGCTGCTCTTGATCCCCCTTAACAACTTAAGGGCTCTCGGGGCGCCTGGGTGGCTCAGTGGGTTAAGCCGCTGCCTTCGGCTCAGGTCATGATCTCAGGGTCCTGGGATCAAATCCCGTGTCAGGCTCTCTGCTCAGCAAGGAGCCTGCTTCCCTCTCTCTCTCTCTCTCTGCCTGCCTCTCTGTCTGCTTGTGATCTCTCTCTGTCAAATCAATAAATAAAATCTTTAAAAAAAAAAAAAACAACTTAAGGGCTCTCATAGATCCTACCATCTACCTGCCTTCCTCCCAGAAAGACACCTCCCCTCCAAAGCGGTTCCAGATGTTTCCTAGGCAGTGTCACTTGAAGGGCCAGCCAGCCCTTCCTAACCTCAGAATGCAACACCTGCTCTTTAAAACTTCCAGCAGGGCCCCGTTATTGGGCAGCCAGAACCCTCTGTGTCTGCGCACTGTGTAAGATACTGGGGGTACTGGAAGGTTAGAGGATGCCTAGTCACCCCAAGATAGGGTGAGGGTTCAGGGTACTTCGGGAAGGGCATCACCCGTGGATCATCCGTGCATCAACAAGAGGTGGCTTCTGGCTTTTAAGGGGTGAACTGGAATTTAGGAAAGAGGGAAGAAGGGCATTGCAGAGGGAGGTATATGGCCTGTGCAAAGGGTCTGGGGCACAAAGCAGCATGGCCTTTTCAGGATTAGGAAGGGAAGTTCGTGGTGGGGCACAGGATGTGGGGCCTGAGGACTGTGTTGTCCCGTCTTGGGGTTTCCACCAGACCCCAGTCTACACCTGCCCCTTCCTTGGTGCACGTGCCCCACCTGGGGGGCCTGCTTCTCTTAAAATATTCCACCAGCTGCATTTCCTTTTGCCATGACACACTTGTCAATCCAGTTATTAAGTGAGGTTCACTTTTGACTTTTCCATCTGAGATTACCTACCTCCCCAGGCTTTCCTCCCCCAGAAAAAAAAATGTTTAAGACGGCTTAGAATATCACAAAAGGAATGAAATGTAAAGTAACTGGGTGAGGAAAATGAGACATTTGCTCCTTCCCTGGGACTGAGGTGGGAATTCTGGCTGGAGGTGGGAAGCTCTTGTCTTCTGTCTGTCCCTTTATGGATTCCCTTTACTTCCTTCCTAAGCCTTTTAAGGACTAAGCTGTGCTTAAATCATGATGACAACCTATAGTAGCTCCCCATTGTCTCCCTTATGGTGTCAGGAATCCTCAGGCCGTTTTTCAGGCGTTGGTGCTCACTGTGACTTCCTCCCACCACACCTCACTACCGTTCTCTATGAGAAAGGTCCTCTGAGAGGGACCAGTCCCCCCTTTATATTGGCCTCTTCTTTCCTCCCTGCCTCTGCTCCCCCCTGGGGTTTCATTTATCTGTTCTTCAGGAGTCCACAAGGCTCTCTGGCTCATCCTGACCCCCTTCTCTGCACCCCATAGCCCTTGCTATTAGTATTTTTGGCTGTAGCACTCTGGGAAACTTCATAGGGTGTTTTTCACTATTTCTTCCCTGTTAGTCGAGTCTTCCCCCATCACACCCAGTCTGATGTTGGGCAGGGGACATGGGTTCAGCAAATGGCTGTGGGTTGGCCATGCAGTTGACGGGTTGGTGAACGTGGAACACCTCCTCAGAGAGCTCAGGCCTGCGATTTCTGCCTTGAGGCCCCAAGCCCTTGGTTTCCATAGGGTTTTCTCAGAGGCGCCGACAGGTGGGGACCCGTGCGATTAGGTTCTCATGGCTGAGGTGGTGCCCTGATTCTTGTCCACCCTGTGTTCCTGCAGTTTCTGCTGGGCCTTTGCTGTGCTCCGCCCGGGAGAACTGGGCCCAGGCCCTGGCAGGCAGAGAGGGTCCAGGCCCTGGCAGTGGGGAGGGCGGGTGTGAGGCAGTTCCTCCTCCCAGGGGAGGCCAAGGCCTAGGCTCTTCTTTCTGATAATTAATGGAACAGAAGGACCCAGGGGGAGTACTCTGGGCTTAGGAAGGGCTTCTCCTATGTGTTACTTCATTGGTTCTCGCCATGGTGAGG